AAAAGTAGACACGGAAATGGCCGGTTACATAATCTCACTACCCAGGGCCTATTTTAGCGGCATGGGAAAATTCGCACTAAGAAAGTTCTCGGTGTCGAGGATTCTCAGCAGCCAGCTCCTCTGTGCTTCAACGATGGACTCTTCTACGCCCCGCCCGCCCGCCTTCACTCAAGGCTGGCAGAGAACTTGGCTCGCAGCTAATGGGCAAACCCTGAGCACCTCGAGGTAGAGATCTTCGTCCGGCTACTTGCCCATTCCTATGCCACTTCCATCATGTTATCCAAAGTCACTATTTACATACAATTTGGCATTTACAAGTATATAATGTATCATTACTTTTACAAGCTTTAATTGTTTGAACATGCAACAGTGCATGTCTCTTGATAAAAGGGCAGTATATTTTGAATTAAATTAAATACTATGTTGGAAATCATTACCTTTTTTATTTAAGCTAATCATCAAAGAATTCAATGATAAATTGAAAAAGTATTGTCCGGTAACTTCAACCCACATTGGCCATCCCGATTATTATTTTTTCTCCAACCAGGCGAACACCATTTTCATTAATTTCTGAATAAACATATCATGTTCATACAATTTGCCCATCCTGAATATCACATAAAAAAGGATTTTTTTTTTGTAAGCACGGAAATTACAATTTCCTGAATACAAAAAGAAATATAGTGTAGAGAATGAATAAGTTTGATTACTAGATGGTTTAATATTTTTCCAAACTCAGCCCAATCATGGCCCGTTACACATTCTTAGGCCCGTTGTGGCAGCAAAGAAAATTTGGTTCAACTCCATCAGCATTCAACAGCACACTAAACACTTGGGCAAGGGCATGGAAGTTTGCACAAGGGTGTTTATGAAGGGATTAGGCATGTGAAGTAGATTTTTACTCCCATTTCCTTGTTTGGCATATGATGGAAATTGGCGTGGGATAAAACTCTCCTCACGAATTAACAGGGTACCCCTGGGAAGAAATCGGTGGGAATTGGCTTTCCCAACTCTCAGTCCCCTTCCCACTTAAACTCCAACTCCCTCTAGTCAAATAGTGAATTTTTAATCTCCTTACCCCTCAACTCCCATTCCCCATCTCTAATTCCCCTGAACCAAACACGCTGTAAAAAAAACTCCCCATCTCGTCCAGCCGTCGAGGGTTCCCGGCGGCTGGCGTTTCCCCTGCGCCGCTGGCCTTCTTTTCCCCCACTCCATGCCAATGGACACCAGCCCAACTCTACCGGAGATCCCCGGCCAGCTCTTGGAGGAGATATTCCTCCGGCTGCCCTCCGCAGAAGACCTCGCCCGCACCTCCGCCGTCTGCGTCACGTTCCGCGGACTCGTCACCGCCGGCTCATTCCTCCGCCGCTTCCGCCGCCTCCACGTGCCGCCACTCCTCGGCTTCCTCGCCGTCGATGGGTTCCATCCGGCTCTGCCGCCTCACCCCTCCACGCCCGCCGCCCATGCGCTCACCCTCGCCGCCGACTTCACCTTCTCCTTCCTCCCCTCCCACTGCCAATGGACCGTCCAGGATACCCGCGACAGCCGCGTCCTGCTTGAACACAAGGACGGAAAGGACGAGGAGGATCTCCCGATCTTCCCGGAGCTTGTGGTGTGCGACCCCTTGCACCGGCGGTACATCCTGCTCCCCCTAGTGCCCGACGACTTAGCGGCATCGGTGGAGAAGCAAGGCCGTTTTTGGGGAGCTTCTGCGAGCCCAGCCTCATTCCACCCAACGTGGGGCAGACTGAAGAGACAGACTTTAGAGTGATCTGGTTGGCACGCTGCGGCATTAATCTGGCCGTCTTCGTATTCTCTTCGAGCACTGGGCTATGGCAAGCCGCCGCATCGCAGCCGTGGACGAATTTGTTCATTGGCGACCTGCCTTTATATTTTCTCAAGCGTCATTTCGCTTGTGGCTGCATCTATTGGACCTCGCCGATGAACAAGAAAGAGCTGCTCGTGCTTGACACCAGAACTATGGAGTTCTCCATTGCTGACTTCCCACCTGGTGCATGGCTCCAGCTACAGGTAGCTATTGTGGATGCAGGGGAAGGCAGGGTTGGGATGTTTAGCACCCAGGATGGAAATGTATGCTATGAATCTATTCTCTGTTATATGGTTAGGCAAAACAAAGGTGAGAGTTCTGGCCAGTGGGATATGAAGACAATCTCAGTAGGATATGGGTACCGGCATTATATCAGAGCTGCAACAGAGAATTACTTGATCCTATTAAGGATGGACGCCCAGTGGCCGGACGTAACCTTATTAGTGCCCCAATCGAAGATGGATTTTTTCTCATTCGATGTCAAGACAATGCAGCTTGAGAGGATGTTTGCTGAACACAATCAAAGATCTGCAGTGCACATATATACCAACTTCCCACCGTCGTTGTTGTCTTCACCGACAGTATGAACTTGGTAAGTTTTGTATTTCATCCTAGTTATGTCATTCCCTTAATGGCTATCTCCCAGCTTATTCATTACTGCAGTTGGTTGTTCTTGTCTGTATGATTTACTAGTGGTTATTTATATTGTGCTTGTGGCGAAGGTAATCATCACAGATACATAATTGTGATTCATTGCCTTGTCTTGTCTTGTCTTGTTTGTTTGTTTGCTCAAATTACCCTTTTCAGAGAACCAGACAAGAGAAAAGATTTTTTGCATCCACTATTACATTAGGCCTTATGAAATTAACAATTATTTTCGAGGAATATTTTGTGGTCAAGGTGTAGAAGGATTGATAGATCCAGATTACCTTTCTAGTGTTTCTCTCACCTCATTCAAGCATGGCTCTTCTTGTTGCCTTTTTTAATAGATAAAAGGAGGCAGAAAAGTGTTCATGTTCACATCTATGATTTTATCGTTGATGTTGTTTCAAAATAAATATGCTTAACTGCTACAGTTTGTATAGCCGTTTGATTCGAATCAGCCTCACAACATCCGTTATAGGCGGGACATTTTTCTTTTTCTTCCTTTTTGATAATAGTTTGAACATTTCACTTGCCTCTTTTGGTCCCATGCCAATGCATGCCAAATATAAGCATCAATCTCTGTGTCGCGTGGTTAGTTCACATGTCAAAAAATCGTTGCAGTCGACAAATGTGAGCCTTGCTGCCAACTTTCTTATGTCTCCTTATCTTCTTTCATCTCCACAAAAATTGCCGTCCATGCCATATCTCTCATGTATCCACGCCAGCAACCAGAGCCAGTGATAACCCCGGCAATGAGTGGCCCCTGTGTGCCCTTTTTTCGTCGCCGCGACAAGTACAGTAACAAGGACTGATGCAGAGCGGAAAAGAATACAACGAGAAGTAGAACAGCAGTAGTTGGGCAGATCGGACAAGAGCCGATAACGCCCCGGCTTGCCGTGGCGGAGACAGGGCAGGCGAGATGACACCGAGACAAATCAGCGACGAAGCGGCTAACTGTGAGGCGCAGGCAAGGAAGAAACTTAGGGGTGGGTGGGAGGTGATGCCGGCACCTATGATTCAACACACTAAATAAATCAAAGCCTAATAGTTTAGCTAGGTCATAGGAAAACTAAAGTAGAAAGGAATGAAAACCTGAACATGGCAGAGAACTAACTATGACTAAACATTCCTTGAAGTAAGGTTGTAATTAGTTAGTTTTACTCAAACTGGAAAAAAAATGTAGCTCACAAACTGAAGAATGAACAAACTTATTAGAGCCTAATATCGATCTGACTAAATGAAAGATTGAACACACACCCCTTATCTCTGATTGATAACCAGAATATCTAAGATTAAAGAAATACTGGGAATGGCATAGGAAAAAGAAGTACTGGAGAAGAAAGAGAGACTGAAGATTGAGGGCCAAAATATAATAATGAAAGACAAGAAATGGAAAAAGGTACCTAGACTCAGTAATAGAAAAATACCCAACACTGAATAAAGTCTTGTTCTGGTCATTTATCTTTTCAGTCAAGAAAGAGAGATAGAAGAATAGATGGTGAAGAAAAGTTTAAAAAAAGAGACTGAATAGTGAAAAAAAAGTGAACTAAAGTGATGAATTATAATGGAAAAAAAATAGACTGAGCGGACTGACTGAATGAAAAATTGAACGCCCAGCCTTATCTCTTAATAATAACCAGAATAGTTAAGACTAAACAATTGCTGAGAATGACATATGGAAAAGACGTACTGAAGAAGAAAGTAGACTGAAGACATAAAAATGAGAAATTGATTACAAGATAATTAAAAATGAGAAGACATAAAACAGGTGTCTGATGAAAAAAATGTGAAGAAATAGAGTAAACATTGAAGAGAGAGTGAACACTAAAGAAATAGAGACTAAAGAGACTGAGGACAGAGATTAGTGACCGAACAACACTGAGGGACCTAAGACAGAGAGAAGTTAGTATCACTCCTAAACTGACAAGAAAACGATGTATATACAGAACTGATGATATAGACTTGAGCGACGAACTGACATGGAAAAGATTGTTTAATACTCCCTCTGTAAGGAAATATCAGAACGTTTAGATCACTAAAGTAGTGATCTAAACGCTCTTATATTTGTTTAGGGTTAATTATCCTTTTGCCCACAGTAATGTCCATGTGCTCAGTTTTACCCTCAGATGCGAATTGTCCTCGGTTTTGCCCCTAGTCCATGCACAACAACTATGACGAGCCCAAACGGCCATATTTGAGTCCATTCCGTCCACCGGCGTTAGTGGTTGTGGGTCCGGAACTTACACGTGGGACCGCGTGGATGTGGGTCCGGAGCTTACATATAGGCCCATGCAATTAAATCCCCAAATCATTCTAGCTCACTCTGCCCATCCGCCGGCCGACTGTCCTGCGCCGCCGCCAGCACCTGCCCCGCCACCAGCTGCACGGCCTGCTCCGCCGCTACCGTCCTGCGCCTACGCTCCCCGGCTACCTGCGACGCCCGCCACCTTCCTGCGACGCCACGGGTGGGGCGCCCGCCACCTACTAGACCCGCGGCGCGGCCTCCTTCCGCGCGTCCGGCCGGAGCGCTCAAAGGTGGGGGCTATTGGAGCTATTTGAACTAGGAGGAAGAACCCTAGGGTGAAATGGCGAGCAGCGGCGACCCCGGAGTATTTGGCGAGGCAGGCATTGGGCCGGAGATCCGCCGCGTCCACGACTGGGTTCCCGAGGGGTAAGTCTCGCCTCTTGTTTAGATTGAGCTTAGTTGTGCATTTGAACACTCGATTCGAGTAGGTTTGCCCAATTAGTGTGCTGATTGTGTCTCTGTTTTTCGCCGATTAGGATGGAGTTGCGGTTTGCTTTCATGGTGCACATTAGAAGGGACCGGTACATGTTCGATGCAAAGAATAAGAAGAAATACCAAGGAGGTTTTGATTATCGGTTGCCAATGGCTAGTAATTGGAGTTTCAGACAATTTGGGGACGTAATTTGTAGCCAATATCCTTAGGTTTTGCTTGATGAAGTGGTATACAAATACTATGATGGGGAAAAGAAATGGGTGACAGTTAGTAATGATGAAGAGCTAGCTACCATGTTTGTTAGGCATAAAGAGAAAGATAATTTTCATGTGAGGCTGCAAGTTGATGTGCTTGAGCAGGCATTTGGACCTAGGATGACGGGTGCAATATCTCGGGGAGAACTAAGTCGTCGTAATGGCATCTCTAGCCAGAACAGTTCAGTTGGTGCACGGCGACGTGGTGGCTCGGCAAGTGTGGGCAACAGCAGTAGGGTCCCCATTGAAGTGGAGCCTGATGACTACAATTCTGGGATTGATGAAGAGAATCTATATTCTAATGTTATTCAGAATTTACGACGGGCACCTCGGATTGAAAACCAAGATGAGGCTCACAATGCAGTCTGTGTGGATGGTGACGCGGTGGGTGAGGACGAAGACCTTGCAGCTGTTGAATGGGACCCTTTGAACCCTCATATGGAAGAAGGTACAGTTTTTGCATCCATGAATGAGTGTAGAAATGCACTTGTGACATACTGCATCAAGGTAGAACGTACTTTCAAAGTTGACAAGAGCGATCAAGTACGTTACGGAGTGCACTGTCCGACTGAGGGTTGTCCATGGAGGCTGCTCGCATCTAAAATGCAAAATAACACTAATGTTCAGGTCAAAGTGAACCCTTTTAAGCACACATGCCAGGAATCAACCCTTAGGAAGGATACAATCAGTAGAGCCAAGTCAAAATGGGTGGCAGAAGAAGTAAAGAAGTGGATGAAAGAAAACCAGCAAGTGGGTCCAAAGGAATTGCAGAAGAACATCAAAGATAAGTTCAAGATAGATTTACCATACATGAGGTTGTTTAATGGTAAACATGCTATGGATTCTATTTATGGTAACTGGCAAGAAAGTTTTCAATTGTTGTATTCATTCAAAGGTGAAGTGGAGAGGACAAGCCCAGGTAGTATTATAGATATTGATCACCACACTATGGAGTACACATTCAGGGGAGTGACAAAGACCAAGGAATGCTTTAGGAGGGTTTTTGTCTGCTTTGAGGCTTGTCGCCGAGGTTTTTTGGCAGGCTGCAGCCCTTATTTGGCTATTGATGCCACTTTTCTCACATGGAGGTTTAAAGGACAGTTAGTAGCAGCTTGTGCAGTTGATGCACACAGTTTTGTATTTCCAGTTGCCTACGGTGTGCTGGAGACAGAGTCTGAGGAGAGTTGGACTTGGTTTTTGCATAATCTGCGCCGTGCTATTGCACATCCCAATGGGTTGGTTATTCATACAGATGCCTGCAAAGGTTTAGAAGTGGTCGTGGACAATGTGTTCCCTGGAGTAGAGCATAGGGAATGCATGTGTTACCTTGCTGCAAATTTCATGAAGAAATTCAAAGGAAAGGTGTATACCGACAATTTATGGCCAGTATCTTTGACTTGCAGTGTGAAGAAGCACAACTACCACTTGAGGTAGTTATACATGAATCCCAAAGTGAAAGAATACTTGGAAACACACCACTCCAAGTTATGGGCCAGAAGCCAATTCAGTGAAGTGAGCAAAGTTGACTATGTGCATAATAATCTAGCAGAGTCTTTCAACTCAACGATCCAGAAAGGGTCATTATGTGGTGGATTTGCTTGACATGATAAGGATAGAATACATGCAGAAATTTCATTATCGTGGAGAAATAGCCGAGGCAAAATTCATGGGCCACATTATCATCCCTGTCGTGATGAATGAACTGAAGCAAAAGACAACAGGCTTGGAAATGAACATGACTCTTTACTCGGGTACCACAGCAGAGATATCATATTTGGATAAAGAGAAGAGGGAATGGAGATATACAGTGGATTTAGAAGCTAGAACTTGCAGTTGTAGGCAATGGCAGATAACTGGGTTGCCATGCATTCATGCCTTGTTTTTCATCACTTCTCTCCCAGGTCCAGCATGGAACATACAGCAGTATGTGCATGATTACTACTCTGTTGC